CCAATAGAGCATCGTTTCGAATGGTAGACTGGAGATACCTCTTGAAAGACTCCGGCAAGCTAGTCGCTCGGACCGTAATATCAGCCTTGAGTTCATTTATGATGGTATGATCTCCGCGACCAAAACGGAAGGTACGTGGTTGCTTGTGGAGAACCATAGGTTCTGTCCGGGGAGTGTACTTGCCACCTATGCGAACCATATGCTCGATAGGAATGCCGATATCGAGAAGGTCTTCTAAGAATTGATCTAGGGCATGATTGGTATAGCAAACCACGAGGATCTTCTGGTCCGAGAAATCATGGATGAATTTGGCCAAGAGGGCGCCTATAAACGATTTTCCTGTACCTAGATAGTGTCAGTGGGTCTATCCTGCATCTCGAGGAGTACAGCACATACCTGGAGGACCCTGAATAATAGATACGTTCTGTTTCAAGCCTGACAACAGCGACATAGCCTGAGCTTTATCTAATTTGATGCTTTTCCCCAGAGACAACACAGCTTGAAGGTCTTGACCAGGGTTATGCTCGAATGACCCTATGGCCGATTGTAGGGCAGAGGGTTGCGATGGCCGAGACAACTCGCTCCCATCATTCCAGAATAGCAATTCCTGCGCGAGAGGAAGTATCTTCATCCGCTTCAAGGTATTCAAGATCGGCTCGTACGAGAACACAGCAGCCTCTATCTGAATGAGCTTAACGTGCTTTGCCGACTTCATCTTCAACAAGAAATTCCGGACCGATGTCTCTCCTTCAAACTCTAGGACAATCTCTGGAGGATTCTTTGCCAGCAGATCTTCGTCTCGACGTACCGACGGGAATGCCAAGACTTCCCCGTCGACGAGGAGACTGGTCAAGGATTGGTGCTTCAATAGTTTGTTGTTCTCCTTCTGAAGGTATACCTTTCGCTTCACCAGGCCACTGATCTTTTGAAGCTGTGGAAAATCGGACGAGCACCGGAAAACGATCGCCCACTTTTTCCGCCGACAGTCATCGCCCAAATTTACGCCTATTATTTCCATACCGTCCACGACCATACCGCGATGCTTTCTTCCTTTCTGTTTTCCCAATGCGATCTGAAGCTCCTCCCGCATCTCGTGAATCATGTCTTCCCTCATCAGCCTAAACTGGTTGTCGAGGTACAAAGCTTCGCGGTGTTCCTCTGTGCTAGGATCGTCGAGAGCTGCCCTGGGACGAAGGAAGGAAGCCTCCGTAGAAGCGAGTTCATCAGCGGTGGGAAGGATCGCGATCTCGCGGAAGTCAGGGAAGTCGTTGTCGTGTCTACCACCGGGACGAATATCATCCTTGGCAATGGCGACGGGAGAGGCAGATACAACGGAAATGGTACTTTTGATTTTCTGTGCTATGATGCGTATATCTAGATGAGGGGAGGCGATGAAGAGAGGTAGTAGCGCTTCGGCGAGGGGTACGTAAGGTGAGACGACGTCGCTTGGGATGAGAATAAGCTGTAATAAGAGCCATGCGAAGCACTTCTGCCCCTTCTCGGATAGCTGCTTCGCTTTGAACGCATCCACGAACGCATTCCAGAAGATTGGAGGGTCAACGATGGCCTGCAACGTCTTCGTCAGGAACTGGCCACTGCTGATCGTCTTGATCTCCGGCGCTTGCAAGTACAGCAGAGTGTCTGTCGCAAGACCGTTGAAGAAGGGCTGGGAAAGATCGGACCTAAAAGCAGCCTTTAAAGATGGGAGACCGTCCTTGCTCGCAATGATCTTGTCGATACAAGCAGGTGGATCTGGCTGAAGGCATAGAGCCTCAAGAAACTGAGAGTTTTGTGATGGAGTGTTTAACGTCTGCTTGCCTCGCAGGACGCTATCGAAAAGTTTACTGAGCCTTGCTACGCGGGCACCACCGTTGGACATGATGGTGGCAGGCGAAGACGAGTTGGCAGCGCGCATGGCAGCAACAACAGCCTTATCCTCGATTGGGGCCGAAGTGCCGTCTATGCTGTGACCGAACCTTGTCAAACTTCGAATAGGCGCCTCGGAACACTGCAGTTTTACTATATTTACAAAAAGGGTCAGAAAATGACATCCCCGGTAAGGAAAGGGAGAAATTTTACTTGAATGTTATAACTTGTGAAACGGTGGTCATCATTGACATTCGTTTCTACAAATGTCTGCTACTACCATGAAGAGGGAGCGCCATGATTCCAGTGCATTTATATTGAAAGATGCCGAAATTGCACGATGTACGGCCTTGAGATCAGGCGACGGCGCCATTTATGGACGGCGCCTGTTGGCTTCGCCGGGGTGTATGATGGTTCGCAGGGTGGTACACCTAGGGTAATAGCAGTGACAGCATTGAATGGGGCCGGAACCAAAACTGAGGGAATAACCGATCCGTCGCGTCGATGGTTATAAAATGGCCACCGCTGTTCTGCCATTGGCAGGTCATTTCAAGGAGTAAGATACCTAGATGTATTTCGATGTGTATTTTGTCTAAAGATCTCACATACCAGATACTATCACAAAGACCGCCATGACTTTCCACCGTATTTGATTGAGGGTGTTTGCTTGGCATCAAAATCCCATTCATAACACCGCATGTCTTTTTTTCCTTCTTCATTCTTGTGTTTATATCCAAATTTACACCAAATTTACCTATGGAAATACGCGACCTCACCAGAGAACAATGGCTGGGTGATTCCATAGGTGTTTACGGTGCAAAGATGAATGTAAACATGGAGACAAAGTCGGAAAGAAATACATTCTGTCTTTGCACAGGTTTTTATGCCGCCAAAGTTCCGCCGGTCTTTCTGACTGTATTTTCAGGTGAGTGTCTTCAGCCTAAATACACATCGAAATCCTTGAAGGTTCATTCCCCAGAATTACGAGCCAGTCGCAGCGGTGCACACTTATAGAGAGGACGAACCACTGATATGACAAGAGAGCAACGGCAGCCTAGAAAGCATGAGCTCGAATCGGCATTTCAGAATAAGTGAGTTTGCGCCCGGATCCAAGAAAGAAACAAAAAAACACCCTGTGTATACTCGTTAGAAAGACAATATCAATAGAGATAGTCCTAGCAATTACCTCGGCCAAATCTTCACACGCTCACGTCGCACCGAAAACGTTCCATAGCCTGGTAGCATTTTCCATAGACCATAACTCATAAATTGATAATAGCCATCAGCAGTGGGTCATCAGCAGCCTTTAGGCAATCGATGGAGGTATGGCGCCGAGGCACTGTTGCCCTGGAGTAACGGATTCTTACCATCAAATAGGCGCTCTATATCAAAGAGTGTGAGCTTGCGTAGTCCCTAGGCCCGGGTGAGAAATCAGCATTACTGATACTCACATGTGTTGGTGTCTTCGTGTTTGTCAAAACTGAAATGAGAATTTACGCGGGAACATCAAGAGAACATATCGCTCGATGCCGACGATGTAGATGTGAGTGGGTGCTATAACGATCCCGCAAAGCAAGCAGGGCCCCAGTACATTAGCGTCGGGTATTCGTATCAAAAGAGCACCTGCAACAAATGAGGAAGGAGAGCAGCTGACATAGCATACGCACCTCTGCTGATGTGTTCGATTCCTTGACGAAACTGACCTGATCACCTGACTATAGACATGTCATATCGAATGCTAAGATTACGTGCAGAACAAACAAAAATCGGAAATGCGGACCTCGCACAAAACATTGCTCACTCCATTTGCTTCAAGTCCATCGCTACCAAAGCGCGAGCAGATCCTGCAATCCATGGAGAGATTGCCTCTCCAAAGCCGGATATGTGTCGAATCGTTCCATAAACAGCTAGGGCATCGTTCCACGCCGGCATCGCAGGCGTAACTAGTGAATCGGCGCCTCCACGTAGTGTTCTTGACTCGTCGGAGCTCAAGGCGGCTGAAGTATCATATAAGCAACTAGTGGAAACACTAACCTAATATCCCCAAGCCCGTTGAGATACATTTATCCACTTTGAAGCGCATGTATGCGTACCTTTGAGAGCTGATACCTCTTTCTCGCATCTGGTACTTGTTTCGTTGGCATATTGGAATAGCCACATCGTTGAACGAGCAACGGATACAAGGACCATAATCAAGGACAGTGACGGTAAGAATTTACTTTTGCGGTAGTGCGTCGTCGTCGTGCTGGAGCAAAGCAAGTTGCCTGTCATTAGAAACGGCTAAAGGAATTTGATACAGTTAAGGTTAAGGTCAAGAGCTAAAACGGAAACCGGTATTAAGTTTCCCACGGCTCTTCGATCTTTATGACTTCGCGGCGGCAGTTCTGATACCAAGAATTATTTGGAATCTTTCGACAATGCTCCGTATACATTCTTCCGACTTTAATTTAACCTTTCGGTGCCGGCACTTAGTACTCCATACTGAAGATGCTGAATTACTTTGTATTGTCTCTACCACTGATGTGGCAACGAAGACTCACCATGTGGCGTGCGGCAGATGCACTTGATAGGCATGCGTTTTTTTGTCTGCCCCCCGTCAACCTGATGGTAGATTGAGTATATTGTCGTATTTGTTCTTGGCTGCCTTTCAATATGGATGTTGGAAACCATCTGCTTCTACAAGCACTACATGTTACAGTGTTGATAGGTAGAAGCATCACTCGCCGACAGTTGTATCCTGAAATTCGACGCATATACCTCTTTCCTTCTTTCCTCGACGTGCCGAGATCAGTATTAGCAGCAATCCAAAAATGAACTAGCAATAGTATAACGCGTTTGAGTCTGAGACTCAGCGATACATCGGCTTTCCGTGAGCTCTGAGATAAGGCCCAGGTTCTTAGATAGAACATGAAATAGTCAAGCCCTAACCTATTTTGCGACAGCGATCAGCAGGTAACATCTAGATGAGGCGGTAGGACACGGCTACATATGGGCATGACGTCGTACTCTCGGCTAGTCTCCCCTAGGCAGACTCTCAAATTAGTCCGTGGCGACACTGAGCGACGGTTCAAACTTCGGGCCTCAGGCTTCAAGTTCAACAAATTTTGACAAAACATACTAGTGGAAAAAGTAGACTGCCCCAGAGAGGCTCGAACTCTCGACCTTCCGATTATTGTGTGACGAGAGCTTCGTAACAGTCGGACGCTGTAACCAACTCAGCCATGGGGCACGGTCCTTAATAGCCTCCCTTGTAGGATATTTGCTTTCAATGAAAATCTCAAATTGGAGAGAAATGTTTATTGTGTATTAAAATACCTCCGAAACTCGGCCATCAGAAATCTCGTATGTGATCGCTGGAAATGCATCCGCGGAAGTAAAATGCAAGGAACCAGCGTGGGCACTGGGGTTACAGTGAGAGAGCAGCTAGGTCAAGTTTCTGCCAGGTATTGGAGTATTTGAAGACCAAAGAAAAACTATGTCCGTTGACTGTCAGTGTTGGCCTCCCAAAGCGCAAAATCTGCTCCCACGGAATCAATTGCGAAGACGTGCGGAGGCAAGGCGCAGAGATCAAAGGGCCGCCGAAGCACGACAACCACTCGCGGTGAAGCGACATACGCCAGCTCAAAATAATAGAGCTGTCCTAAAGGTGAAACGGTATGAGAACGCCGTCGCACAATAATCAATACAGCGACAATTAATACGCCAGGCGAAAACATGATGAATGCCAAAATGCGGTCGTCGGGAAAGGGCCGTCAGGACGGGAAGAAGGGAGTTGCAAAAAAAACAATGAGCAGGCGGGCGCAAGCCGGCGGTGCTATTGTTCAGCTATTTTATTGTCCTGTTTTTCCAGAAGCGCGCCATAGCGACGATCCGAGAATGGCATGTGTTGTTTGGCTATTTGGCTGGAGCCTTGTTATTGTACGCAGGGTTTTTGTTTGCCTAAAGTATAAGACCATGGCTGGGCACGACGAGCGACCACAGCGAGCTAGTCTCCTTCCAATACTCTTAACGGTGAGCAACTACCTTCTTCAGCTTACCGACGATGCTGACGATGACGAGCAGACATAGACATACCCAGCATACCCATAAAGTTCTACATACCCCACGACCATCATGTCCCGCCCACGATCCTCGACAGTCTCCTCGTTCACCGCCAGCATTACCACCTGGGCATCTGCGGTACACCCAGGCTCACCAGTACCTATCTCGCCGCGGAGCGCTAACTCGGGAGCATTCCCCGACACGCCTGCAACGTCCAAATCAGTCTATACCCCGACGTCTGCCCACTACGCCAAATTCGATTTGACGAATCTCGGATACACATCTGTGTTCGTGCACCTGCCCAAAACGCCTTCTACGCCGCCCTATCTTAACAATAAGCCTCCACTTTTTAATCATACCCGTAACAATAAGAAAGACAATAAGCCCGATAATCACAATTACCCCTCCTCCCATAAAGATGAACTCGACAATGTTTCCTCTCACCAGGCGAAGAAAAATCCCTTCTCGCTCCTCTCTCGTTCTCGTGCACGCTCCAGATCCATGTCTGCCCCGGTGAAGTCAAAGAAGCACGCGCAGCAGCTGCCCCCGACGCTCATGAACGAGCTCATGCTCATGCAGTTCACGAATGGCGGGAAGATGAGCACCCATATCACCCGTGTTATGGATGCCCAGACCAAGCAGCAGGGCAACCTTCCTGCTGGTACTCGCGCCGACGTCTACCGCGACGGTACCGGCCGCGTTTGGTGGGACCGCGATGAGCAGATAGAATACCAATGGCTCCTTCAGAAGGACGATCCCGATTCCTCTGACTCCTCCGACTCCGAAGGGGAAGAGGCACCCTCCCAGTGGGTCAAATTCCGGACCGAGTCTCTTGATGCTCAGGTTCGTCTATTTTCCTTCTCTATTTTTTCGTATACATTCTGATTATCGCATTATAGAAAGTAAAACTCGTACCGATGACCCTCCAGCCCATTCTCACTGCCGATGGCAAGAAGAAGCGTCCTACACCGCTTAACCTCGCCAGGAAGGAGTTCCTCGAGCAGTCTTTCGTACCGCCGAGCATACCTCTACCTCCCATTCCCGTATCGGCTCCTCGTCCTATCCCATCTACCCATGCCCACTCGCATACCCCGAAAAAGTCAAAGATGAGCGTCAGGGGCTTCTTCCATAGGTCATAGATATCTTGGTACGCTCTCTCACTTTCTTTAGCCATCCTCATGTTACTTACCGTTCCCTCTCTTTAGCGCTGGTCGTTGTACTATATGCATGCACCGACCGTATGCATATTCGCCCTTTCAGCATACCTATATTCTTATTCCGCTGCGCTACCTCTCCTTTGCCGCCGTCTCTGTAGTAGTTAACACAACTGTAGCTTTATATCTATCTAATACTTACCGTCTTCCTGGACGTGTACCTATGTTTATGCATCTACGTACAAAGTAGCTAGGGAGAATACTTGAATGCAATATATGTCTTGATGGAAAATACATGTTGCTTTACGCACTGGGTCTTCGTTGTAATCTGAACTGATTCCGATAGTACCACAATGCTGGCAAATGGGATTTGAAGTGCTTGCATATCACGATTTACTTATTAATGTTCAGGCTGGGTGGATTTAACATCGTATCCGCCGAGTCTCAGTAACTTCGAGATAAGTAGGGTGCTTCTCCACTAGTTGGTAGTGTTAACTTTTTGTTCCACGTCCGGTATCAGCTGGCTTAAGCGTAAATGTAATGGTTATTCGTTGCAAACAGCAAAAGCCCGGGTATAAAAATTCCAAGGCTTGCCATTATAAACCCTAAAATTTCAAACCAGTTTACCTTGCGCGTCCTCATCAATCATAATCCTGCCACAAAAAAGGTACACCGTCGTCTGTCTAATAGGACCAGCTAAGTATTTGACACCCCCCTTATATGTGATATCACTGTAAGTAAGAAACAGTAAATGAGTCTATCAAACCTCTGAGGTGCAGTCGATAAAAATAGCACAGTACATCGCAGGATGTTTCAACTTTCGGTGGTCTGAGGAAAGGGATTCACTGATTCAGAACTCCAGCCATCTAGCGTCGACGTGATTCTATACAGAAGTAAAATACAGATCCAGTGGGTTGGCTGCTAGCAGTGTAGCACTAAGGTAGCTTTGTGTACGAAATCCTAGGCTTTGGCTTTCGGACCAGGGTTGTATAAAGATTTTGGAAAAAAATGCTGTTGCCGCGCATCAGTCATGTGATGGAGCACGTGATAGTGTAACAGTGAAGTGCCGTATCGCAAGACAGTACGAAACCGTGACTTATCTCCCCCCCGGGATGTTTCGTGCGCAGTCCCACACTGACGTGACTTCGCACCATGCACATGGAAAAATGCAGAAATATACAAACAGCACTGCCCCAGAGAGGCTCGAACTCTCGACCTTCCGATTACTTCATAACAGTCGGACGCTGTAACCAACTCAGCCATGGGGCAGACAAATTTTGGTTTAAACAGTATTGTTAGATTTAGTTTTTGTCGTATCAGCTTTTGGAGATGGGTAGCATCCTCTGCTTGCGACAACCCATAATGCGTGGGGGTGGTTCAGCATTCACGTAATTTTCCAGTTTCTCATGCAAATTCAATTGCAGATGCTGCGTCCTTTTTCCTTCACGAGTGTTTCACCGATAATTTATCTGAGGACTGTAGCATCAGACCCATTCCTTCTTTGGCACCAACACTGTTATATTCGAGACAACGCATGGAGGAAATACCGACAGATCAGTGCTCCAGCTTTTTCTGATTCACAGTCAAGTTCATCCCTGAGCGCGGCTCACATGATTTTAACCTACCGCAGAGAAACAACAGACTCGTATGCGACGGGACCTTCGCGTCTGCGTTGGTATTACTTATTAGTGTACTAAACTGTCGATGACAAATACCCATCTGATCACGTCTGCTCTTTATACCAATTTCTACTTTTCTGGTCTATCTATGAACACGCCAAAATTCAATGGCAATACCTGGGTCTTTTCGCGGTCAAGGAACCCCAATTCGTCCGGTACGAGAACTCTCTCGTACTCTTCGTTCCTCATGATCTAGATTTCAAGCAGAGATTAGAACGGCCATTGGCATCTGGAAAAACGAGCATACACCCAAGACTTTCTCGGATGATTCGCCTTCCATGATTGCTATACCGTCCCAATCGCACGTCTGAGCCCCCATTTGCTTAAGCAAAGCGTTGGTTTCATCATTCACATGCATCTGCATTCATGTAGTCAACACAGTTATGTTGAACACAGATATAGAGACAACACACCTGATCGTACTTTCTTTGACAACTCCGTGGAATTGAATAGTTCAGCATGCTGGAGCCAGCGACGCGTGAATTCCTCCTTTGAGATACCGGACTTCCTCTTCAGAAATCCCGCGACACGGATGCGATTCGGTGTAAGCTCAAGAGTTGGGATGCTAGACATAGCCTGTGTTGCTGTGATGTTATTCTGAATTAGCGGCAATCTCGCTCTTTATGCTCTCCTGGGAACCACGCTCAATAGCCAGCGACCGCCGTCAGCACTACCGCACGATTACATAGACGATTCCCTACTCTGTCGGGATATACGTAATAACTTATGAATTGTATACTTCACCGCCCGCAGCCGCCCGACATGTTGTTAATTTGCGTGCCTGGCTTACTGGTTTATACTCCTAAGACACTAAAAAGGACACGATGGTAAATTGGATGAGGCGACGCGCGGTTGAACTCTACAGATCTATCGTAATGTCTATCCAATGCCCCATGTCCATTTCATGCACGGTCATTACACCTTAATAAGTACAGTACTTTATTCTTATTTCGATTATCACCTAAAATCCAAACCAATGGCTAAGCGCGTCCAGCGGAACAACAGTCTTGATTCTGATGGAGATGAAGCCGAACTAGATATACAACAAAGATAGCAGCAAAGGCATCACATATTTCATGGCCTCCAGGACATGGAGGTTCTCATTTCGGGGGATCGGGGTGGGGAGTATGATGACTGGTATGGCACTGCTTGTGGCAGCTGGACAGGTTCAGGAGGATACAACGGTACAGTCGGCACGAGTTCGAATACATGCTGTGCAACAGCTCGCGACATCCCCCTCGCCCCTTGCTGTTCTGTTGAGTTCATGACGGCATGAACCTGAGCTTCTTGCACCATGTCATCATCAGCAGAACCATTAGTCGGAGGCGTCGTTACGGGATTCTGTAGATTGACTCCACGGCCATCCCATATGCAGCGAACATCATTGCCTGGTATGATCTGCACTAGCCTGCCAGTCTCAAGACGGCGAACCTCAATAAAGCGACTATCGAACAGGAGGATGTATGGTAGATGCAGAGCAGCACGCTCAGCCGTACCCTCCCATTCAATAGTACCCGAAGATCGACTAGGGTCTCCGTGTTTGTCGACATAGAGTCCGAACTCTGTATTGCCGAGTGCTTAGCTCTGTTATACTCATAAAGATAGCCACGCATTACTCACCATCATAGCACAAAAGGAACTCGTCATCAGCTGATCTGAACATTCCGATAGGACGACACGATTCGCCACGCTTGGCGATTGCCGCTAACTTTGGGTCTTCAGAATGGGGAATTGTTGCACTCTTGAAACTGTATCAACTGTAAGACTAGGACAACGACACTAAATGATAACGGGCGTACTCATGAAGATCCATAATCTCAAAGCCTTTTGTGCAAAGGATTGCAATCTTGGCTTTCAAGAAAATCAGATCAAACGATTCTGACGGTAGGAAGAAATCCTGAGAAGCAGCGTGAGAATTCCTGCCAATGAAAAGAAGCATGACACAAACTCGGTATATCCTGAACCATTCCGATTTTGCAGAGCGGAACCCTAGACGGGACCCGAGGCCGCCTGGAGTCTTAACCCGTTCATTGATCTTGTCCCCTACCGGTTCCAATACTCGGAAGATACTGTTCAGCTAATCGGTTTTTGTCAATTCGCACAAAGACGAGGGGAGAATATTAGGATATTCGTACCGCTTTCTTCTTCATGTAGATGACTAATGTTCGGCCATGAAGAGTCCCAACGCTGAAGAAATGAACGTCCTTGTTTCCATTTAACTTTTGTGGAACTTGCGAAGCATGCGCATTCTGAGGAGATGAAGGAACTAGCGCTTCGATATGGTATGCAAAAAGAGACTATTTGGACCATCAGCACTGATCCAACACCAGCTAGCAGAAAGGAATACCTTGTCAGCCAAGACTAAGAAAAGTCCGAACTCCTCTAGCATGGCGCATTGTGTAACCAGCTTGAGATGTAGAACACGGCGCATTGCTATTTTGAAGCAGTCAGTCATGGTGAGAACCTACCAAAGGAGTACCTACATTTCGGATCATGCCTGAACCCAATCCATACACCTTCTGCACATCCAATGGCAACCAGTCCGCGTCCATCTGCAGTATCTTAAAGGGATACATAAGAGCAGGTCTCATCTGAAGTAGATCCACGTACTGAACGGAACAGAGCAAGTGACCTTGCCCGTAAAAGAATTATCCTGGTTCCACGCAGGCGGTGAAGTGGGCCCGCCAGCCATTGCAGGTACCAAAAATGTATCAGTACTCAATGTCTCAATCTCGAAGACCTTGTTTGACTCCTGCACAACTTTGCGAATCACCAAAGCCTCTTCGAGCTTCTGCTTCCACTCCGCTCTTGCCTGGGCAGACTCTGCATAGAGAATGTATGGACCACCCATTCTACCATTATGGTGCAGCGTCAACGGGTAGACAGAACGAGAGTCTGTGGTGCTCTCCGGGGATGATACTCCGGGAGTGCCATTGGGGCCTTCTGTGTGTCGCTCTCCTCCTCTCAGGTTACGAAGTAAACCAGTACTACGTTGAGTCGGCGGATCTGTGAAATTGACCAATGTAAGAAGGTCCAAGGGAGTGGGCTACGAAACAGTTAGGATGAAATTGGATAGCGTGCTCTCGGGATTTACCCTTCTGTTCACATAGTACATCGTTACACCGTCTCGTTCCTTGGGTTTCGTCAAAACGACTAATGGATCCGTCAGCACGCACCATCGGGATTGGATAACAAATAAACGAACGGTAATTATCGAAAAGGAGAACAAACAATTCACTCCATCCATTCCACTCCAAGCCGCTATCAGGTTGCCGTAATAATTTCCCCGAGTATATCAGTGAACGGTTCTCATCAAGAAGATCCATGTCCTAGATTACCGGTTACTACGATGAATAATTGGAAATCGCATGAATTGACGTACGATGAATTCCCCGTGTTTAAAGACCAGATTGGAATTGTACCGCCACAACTCTACTTTCTGTTTCGCGGATACGACACCAGGTTCGGTATCTTTTCCGATAGATTTAATGACCTCAAGGACCTGGGGTATCTCCTTTCGGTCATCATGTCCGGGCGGCGTCTCGTCCAGGATACCCTTCAGCAAAAGTTCGTACCGAAGCAAACGGGGGATAGGTCGATTAATGAAGTTCTTCATGTCGAGACGATGAGCATCCGGATGACGAACACATTGCTGCCACGTTGTTAAAAACTGGTCATATGGAATAGACAATGAAAATTACCTCCACAAAAGTCTTGAACGCAAGATTCTTGGCCATTTCGTCGTCGATCCTGTACGCTGCTATGGGATAATTAGGAATATATTCCATATACGCGTCCCTGAAGTTCAGAGCAGCGTCGAACATAGCCGCAGTGACAGTACGAATCACGGGATGCTGTTCGCGCTGGATCTCGTGGAACTTCTCCACCAACTTTCGGTGGTGATATCCCAGCTCAGCAAAATTGTGAAACACGTCGTTGATGAAACTATTCAGTCTGTCGGGAGGAATAATCGGCGGGTTCGCGGCACGCAGTGCTTTGATGTACATCTATGAAGATAGACTTAGAACCTGAAAGAAAGATGGAGTTATTGAAATTTACAATGTCAATGTTCTCTAGATCCTTAACGTATGCCATCTCACCCTTGATGAGCTCAAAGATGATCCTAAAACGGAATTAATAGAAATGCACCCGACAAAAAGCCAAGACATACGATTGACGCTTCGCCTCCTCCTTTGGTAGACTTTTCCGTACCTCCGTCGAAACGAGATCATGCCACTCCCATTTACCTGGTGCACCCTTTCCCATGGCAGACTGGAAGGTCCTCAGCTGCGCTACACTCTGCAAGCTCTTGATAGCCTCAATCGCTTCCATAAGGTAGTCCGCGTCAGGATTTCCAACTGCTGTCTCATGGTAAATAGCCTCCAAAAAGACTGGATACTTTTGCAGGTGCTCCGATGGCCGGTTGAGGAAGTGCTTCAGGTCAAGGCGCAAGTTGTCTCCGCCCTGTCTTGTTGTTTGTCTCGAACATTGCTGCAATAGACAGTGAGCTAACATAAATGACAGCCACATTTCGCTCGTACCTCGAGGAACCGTCTGAATTCCGGGTTATTTTCGAGCTCGTCCTTTAGC